AGCTTCACCAAAAAGGGTTACACAGTAGTGTGCTGGACCTCGGGCAACACGCATGACAGAGGAGACGCAACAGGAGCAGACCTGAATGGACTGTTGAAGCAGGCTAAGTCTTGTGTTAATTGTGTGTGCGGCAGACAAAATAATAAAGTTGTCTGGTGCAGTAATCCCTGTGGTTGGTCTGTGTGTGCTGGGAGAACCCTCGTAGTAGCGAGTCTTGCTAGAATAACGTTTGAAAACAGTAGTGTTCCTAAACATAGCATCAAAGATGTTTTAATAGACACATTTAAATGCATTAGTATGGTGGCAATATTGTCAAAACTATTCTGAAGTTACTTATTTTACGTCAAAGTGGTTGTGTATTGGTAAATCAAAAAGTCCAGTAAGCAGTAGCTTTGCCCCGGTAGAAAATCTTTATGCTATGTTGAACAGTTGGATCTTTTACTAATTAAAATTATTAACACCTCAAGGAAAACATACTCCACTACAAGTAAAAGTACGTAAGTATTAGGACGTGTTTTAAAAAAGGTTGTTGCTTTACGACCTTATATTATAAATGCATCAATTAAAACAATGAAAAGACATTTCCTGCCACGTGGGACTACAACTAACGATGATGATATAAGTGTGTCCATGGAGGTCATGCACAGGTACGGTACAGGTGTAGTATTTACTGGTACTTACTCTCTGTGTTGTCACTGATGACTGTCAGGTGGTCGATGTCTCTGTCCTCTGTTGTCGGGGGCGGGGCTTGTTGCTCTGCACTGACCGGTTGAGAAGTCACGGCAGTGTGGCCAACTTGTCCGTCATGCTGCGTGCTGATTGACTGGTGTGGCTGCTGGGACTCCTCCATACTGCTGGACGGCTGGGCGACGCTGGGACTGGTGGCCATCAGACGGTGAAGATAAAGAAAAGTGCTGAAGAAAAGCTGAAGGCAGGGAGCTCTCTGAAATGGAGAAGAGATGGAGATTTAAAGGTTAACATTAAAACATCAGTAAACAGCTGTTCTTTATATAAAGACACAGAGTCACATGGTGTCTCTCTCCCTCTGCCTTGGTATCGCAGCCTGCTTCTGTGGTTTGTTTCCATAGTCGGTCTGTCCAACTGAAACTGCTGTTTTATCATTACGTCGGTGAATTAAGGATTTATTTCACCAAACCAGAGTTGGTGATTGAGACGGTTTAAATGAGTTTTATTTGTTTTGGTCTCAGTGTTTTGGTCGGAGATGCTGGTGCTCTTGAGCTCCAGGACAGCTACTCAAAGGACATTGTGGTGAGATTGTTCCGAAGTTATGAACTATAATGAGTCACAAAAACTTAGAGCACGATTTACCATCTTGGTTTTATAAAAAAGCAAGAACGTGTTTGTTCCTCGAGCACAAAATAAATATAAAACAGATTTATCTGAGTGGGTTGAAGGTCGTTGATTTATTCCACTGACTCAACAGCTTGTTACTGCCAGCTGCTGAGGTTTCTGGCTCCTGGTCTTTTTGTGTAGGTGGACATGAGCTCAGTCAGTATTTGATTTAAGTCCCACTGATCACTGATATTGAGTTTATTTAGACTTACCGAACGCCTCTTTAAACCAGAATTAAACTATAAAACCATTAATCAGCTGCAGATATTCACAGTCTTGCAACAGTGAAACTGAAAAGGGATATTAAGTTGTCTCTTGGTGTGTGTTCTGATCCACAACAACACACCAAATTATATAGTTCTCTGCTGGAAAGTTACAGGAGATTGTTAAGAAATTAAAAGAGTAACTTCTAGTAATTGTAGAGATTCAATAAACTGTGAGCAGGAATATTTATTTTTTACAAGATTACTGAGATCTGTAGTGTTCGTATGTGAGGATTATCTTGCTGAATGTAAATTAGCTATCTAGTTAGCTAGCATTTAGCTAACATTAGCTAATTTAAAATGTGACTACATATGTTGCTTTTATCTTTTAATCCATCTTCAAAATGTCATTGTCTTTTCAACAGAGATTAGCCTAGCATACAGCATATCTAAGTACAGGAGTAGAGAAGAAAAGGAGAAAGTGACTAAGGAGGGGTCAATTTCCCAGATCCTGAAATGAGGTCTTCAAATTGGTTCTTATGTACAAAACTCAATAAATCATATTTATTATCAAATTTTCTGTCAATCGACTAATTGTTGCAGCTCCACACTGCTACGTCTTCTTCCATCGATCTTGTATCTTTTTGACATAAATAAAAGTTCTTCAGCAGTGAGGATGCTGCTGCAGAGGCAGAGACTCATTGATCTGATCGACAGCCTGGAGGACCAATAGCTTCTTAAAGAGCTCAGCTGCAGGACCTCCACACACTGAATATTATAATGACCTGCCAGGACTCGATGGATGACTCGTACCATTTCCCCCTGAGCACCGAACGCTGCGGCGCTGCTTCGCTTGGGAAAAGCTGACGGACGCAGTCTTGTCTCACTCTATAATACTGTGTGTGTTCTGTTACAGCAGTCCGAGGGGCTTTGAGCTGCAGTGTAATTTAAAACATGTTACAAGATACTAGCGTTCTTCAAAGGACCTCTGCGAAAACCTGTCAAAGCCAGAGTTCTTGTTAACATCAGGGGTCGACAGCTGACGCATGCATTGCTTTTAGGTGATGATGCAGAAAAAGACTGATATATTTTTCAACATATTTGATTCTTTATCCATCAGAGAGACCCAGAACTGTCTTCTATCAATCACAGTCAGAGATGTGTTAGAAATATTGAAGATATTAAACTTTTATAGAGGTGAAAAGTGCGAGAAGCTGCTGAATAGGTGAATAATTTCTCCCTGCTGGAAATTTTTCTCAAATCGTTACTCATCATAGAAACACAAGACATAGTGTAACAGAGGTGGGACCAAGTCATTGTTTTGAAAGTCCTAAACGAGTCATAATCATAGACAGTATGAATAAAAAGGTTTCTGAAGAGGTGGAGCTGAATGAAGCCTTTATGGCGGTTGTGCAGTTAGACTTCAAAATGCAGAAAAACCTACATTTCTGTTGCGTTTGACTCTTTAACTCAGATATTTTATAACGTTTGACACGTTGGGAACCTTCACTGATGATTCAGTGACATTAGAAACTAACAGATGGACTCTGGTGAGTTTACAGATCTGAAGCTAATCTTCAAACAGCGTTATCAGCATTTTCAGATCTGGCCGAGGACTCCAGGTAGACCACAACGGCCCTGCTGCAGGGACCCAGAATATGAGCCAACTGCATTTTTTCTAACCCTGTAAACCAGAGTTCTCAACTGGTTCTGTGTTTGAGTGTCTGGTCAACAATAGGAAACTATTTTAAATGCTCAGCTATCTGATGTCAGACTTTTATTTCGACAGGAAAACTTCCACAAGCTTTAGTGCAAACAGGAGAGCTGCAACAATCAGTCGACTATTAAATCAATCACTAGTTTTATAAATGAAGCCTGGCTACTGAAAACGCCTGTGCTGGCACCCACCTGTCACTTAAAGCAGCCACGTCCTTAATTATACCCTTCAGCACAATTTTAAGCACATATTCTCTGTCATCCAACCAGAGTAAAACTTACTTCACCTCCAGTTTTCATATGAAGCCTGTTTCTTGATGTTTTTACTGCACTCTTTAGTTTGGTCCAAATATGTGGGTGTCTTTGGTTTGTTAGATTTTGCAGTGACAGTAACTGAACAGAGACCGTTGATTCTCAGTGGGATCAGCAGGACTCATCATCAAAGCCTCGTTTAGATTTCTAAACGCTCCATTTATGTTATTAAATTACAGTGGTTGAATGTTAGTTAATATATTTACTCTGCTATACTTAATAAGAGGTTGAAGTACTTGAGTATTTCTATTTCATCAACTACATTTCAGAGGCAAATATTGTATTTTTACTCCCCTTTTATCTGACTGTCTTTTTCATCCCCTTCCTGTCCAGTGAAAACCACGTAACTCCAGATGTGTTGATGTTGAATGTTTGTGATAAACTGAAGGATGAAGCGTTCCTTTAAAATTCTCCGACTTCTTGCGTTGTCACAAAGCTGAAAACAGGCTTCTGACTTTTAAAAAAATACGTGGTTCTCACAAGACAGCCATTTGATTCTCAGTGGGATCAGCAGCACAAACATATGATGATGTTATAGAATATGATGCACTGCTGTAGATTAAACTACCAACAGTATATGAAGTAGTTCCGATGAGCTCCACCTTAAGCATCTACTGCAGTAAAATGCAACACACACATTAATGCAGCAGTAATATGAATTCAAAACATCAGATATAAGAGTACAATGCTGACAGGGAACATCTGATACTTTATAATATTCACATACTTTTACTTCAGTAAGTGTTTGAAGGAGTTAAAGTTTTGGTACGTCTGCTAGTTTTCCCCTTTACTTCTTACTGACATTGGGAGCTGAAGAAAAGGTGAAATGTCTGTAATGAAAAGGATCTTTAAAGGGGGTTAGGGGTCTAAACAGACGACTCCCACAGCAATTAACCTGATGTTGCTTTCGTTCTTTTTACAGTAAGAGGCCGGATTAGCGTCGGCTGCGTCAGACACTTAGCAGTCGGGGGGGAAATTAGCAGGCCCATTAAAGCCATCACAGTCTGTTGTTTTTAGCTCTGCAGCAGCAGCGTAATGACTCTGGGTTTTGATAATGTTTATTTCATGCCGTGGTCAGACCATCAGTTAGCTGATGTATTGACTTGATATAGACCTGTTATTAAATACTGGATGGTCAGTGAGAGTCTGTAAAACCGGAGTTTGGACGGTTTACATGGATTTATATTCCAGGACAATATTCATGTGCTAATTTAATCAGTTTTAGGAATATTTTGGATATTAAATCAAAATATTAACTGTCAGCTTTTATATATGTTTAGTCATAAAAGTGGAATTTTGCTGATAACAGTGACCTTTTTCACAGCAGCCATTTTGGAACAGAAGCTTAATTAGTATCATTGGTAACACCTGTGTTTACCCTACTTTTTCATCTCAAAATGCTGTGAAAAGGGCCTGTTAGCTCTGGTTCTTGAACTGGTTGCATTCAGGTTTCTTGGACCTCGGTGCTCTCTATGGAACCAGTACTCGTTTCCACCAGTTTTAAGCAGAACCGTTGTAATCGATGATGGTACAGAGGGTAATGCCAGATGGGAATCAACTTTATAGGTTCCGAACCAATTTACTTTCGGTCGAATTGCCCCAAATGGTTTAAAACTAGGTGTGTGAACTTGTATGGAGCCAGTTCCATGTTGGTGGAAAAATGTTAGTGTTTGACCTGAATGGAACAGAACCTTTCATTAGTATCACAGGTAACACCTGTGTTTATCCTATTTCAGTCCCTCCAGGATTTTGTCGGCTGTTTTGGGGATTTTGGCCTAAAACTTCTGATTTCACAGCAGCTTTTCTTAAAAATTGTGATGCATCTTTTTTGCAAAGAAATTCCTGGAGAATAGTTGAAGGCAACTTGTTCCAGTGAGATTAAAATCGCACTGTTTGAAGGGTCATTTTCACAACTAGAAACAAGAAAGTGACGTACGGCTCAACGTTTGGGCAGAAAATTACAATGATTGGTCAGATTTGACGAAAGGTTGCTGTGACTTAACTTCCTGGAGGGACTGTTACTAAATGTCAAAATGGCTGCTGTTAAAAAATGTTCACGTTTTAGCACAAATCAGCTTGTTTTTTTGGCGTATGGATGTTGAAACGAGACAGAATAAGACCGACTGCTGAACTAGAATCAAGAAAAAAAAACGATTTTTATCTCTGTGAGCTCTGCTGAATCACTATAAGGACCAGAGCTGAAGAGAAGAGGCAGTTTGGGCAAATTCTCTGGGCACGAAGCAGGAACATGACAGCCAGAGGGAAATAAATAAAACACACACACTCATGCATATTGCAGAAGCATATTTTTAGCCGGCTCAGACCACCTGTTCAAGCACACAGATCAATTTCCTTTGTTTTATGGCGGTTGTGCACTTAGACTTCAAAATGCAGAAAAACCTACATTTCTGTTGCGTTTGACTCCTTAACTCAGATATTTTATAACGTTTGGGAACCTTCACTGATGATTCAGTGACATTAGGAACTAACAGATGGATCTGGCCGAGGACTCCAGTTAGACCACAACGGCCCTGCTGCAGGGACCCAGAATATGAGCCAACTGCATTTTCTAACCCTGTAAATCAGAGTTCTCAACTGGTTTTGTGTTTGAGTGTCTGGTCAACAATAGGAAACTATTTTAAATGCTCAGCTATCTGATGTCAGACTTTTATAAGACAGAAAAACTTCCACAAGCTTCAGTGCAAACAGGCGAGCTGCAACAATCTGTCCACTATTAAATCAATCGACTATTAATATAATTCATTAATCTTCTTTTTTTTATGAAAAATTCTCTGATTTCAGTTTCTCCATGTGAATATTTTCTGCTTTTATTTTGTCCTCCGTGACAGTAAACTGAATATTTTTGGGTTGTGGACAAATGAAGACATTTGAGGACGTTACCTCGATCAACAGTTTTCCCAATTTTCGGACATTTTATTGAACAAACTAATCAATTAATCAAGAAAACGATCGACAGATAAATTGATAATGAAAACAATCCAGTCCAAGAAAACAGCCCGTTCTGTTCTGATGTTCACATTCACTTATCACACTTCTTTATAAAGAGAAACTTTCTCATTATTATAATTTACAGAATCTTTTTTCCATCACATCGGCAGAAACGAGCTTCCATAAGAAATTGAATATTGTATAATTGAAAAAAAAAAATTGAAGGCAACTTGTTCCAGTGAGAATAAAATTTAATAGTTTTGTGGGCGGGGGCGGGGGGCGGGGGGGTTTGCTATGATTGGTGACATTTGAGCAAAGGTTGCTGTGATTGGACCAGAGTCTGAGATGGGTCAGTACCCAGTACCGCCACGTCTGATTTTTGTCCACATGGCAACCTTACCTCTCATTAAGTAGCGCCACCTCTGGTGAGCACAGCTGTCTCCACCACTGAGGTCACCCGGCCTCTGTCTCTTTTCTTGGTGAAATAACAGCCTAAAAATTTTGATGCCCCTAAACTCCCCCAGCAAGTTCAGGTTCTGGACCTTGGTATCTCTAAACCCCTGCGTACAGCAGTGCTGGTGAGGGAAACGCCCACAGAACTGTGTCTCAGTGTAAACCCACAGACAGCTTAACGGTAAGAAAACAGAACTGAAAATGTTACAATGGATTAAAAACTCCATAAGATTCAGGTTTGGGGTGAAGTAGGGAACTTTGGACTCCTTTTTCAGTCCAGTTCAGGCTGAAGTTCTCTCAGAACTCAGTGATTGGTTGAAACGTCACATCTGATGACAGGAACTAACTGTTCTGGTCGGAGGAGGAAGAAAAACTGATGTCTGAAAAAGATCATCTGTGTTTGTTTGTGTCCACAGTGAAGACCTTCGTCCTGCTGCCACCTCACCTTCATCACACACACACACACTGAGAGCAGCCATGTTGTTACTGTAGCTGCAAACACTTTAATCCTCATTAAAACAGTGACTCAGCCTGAATCTGTCACTTATTTGATCTTTTTTACTGAAAGTAAGACGTTCATTCTTCAGACGTCGTCTCTGTTCGTATTTTTAATCTTTTTAATCTGAACACCTGATTCTGCTCCGAACAGCTGGAGAGGATTTCTGTGCTCATCCAGTGTTAATCTGAGCTGTGCTGCAGCTCTACAGAACTCTGCTCTGGGTTTCAACATTATTCAGTTCTGTTCTGCAGACGGGTTATTTTTCCTAGGATGGCGAAGGCCTGACGTACTCAATGTCCAATTTTCATGACTGAATGGTTTAGGGAACCCAGAATGCCTCATTATGAAGTTTCAGCCTGGAGTCTAATGTTATTTTCATAATGATCCAACTGCTGTTGGTTCCAGTAGTATCGAGGCCTATGGGTGAAACTCAGTGAAACCCAACATATCTACGTCTACCCAGTTAAAGAAAACACTGATTCGTTTATTTACTGTCTTAAAATAGCATCCAGTGATTATTGTAGGCAAAACATAACTTTAAATCTATAAATCAATAATCTATAATCATTCATTTATAAACTCTGAATAAAATGATTCTCTGAGTTTGAACATTGTTGGAAACATTTGGGATAATGTAAGAACTCAACTACATATAGAACACAGAGGTTATACACTGTTTAATGATTATTGATTCAAACTACATATAGAACATACACTGTAAAAAAACACGTGAGAAACATCATAAACATGTAGATTTTAATGCAGTGCATCTTTAGAGCTTATACACAGTTTAAAGAGGAAACAGATTATTGATTATAGATTTAATAATCCACAGTAGAATCTATCTGCTGACTGAATATTTGTGTCGTTCAGACATTCGAGGATGGAAACAAGCGTCTCCAGCTTTAATCTGGTCATTATTTAATATTTCCACATGGAGAGAGGACGTCGTTTAGATGCTGAGGAGATCCCGACCGACAGAAGGTCGATTTTACCCCATTTTATTACATCTCGTCCCAAGATTTTTGCTTTTAGACGTGTTGTTATAGAAACAGCATTCTTATGGATTTATAGTGAAAATGAATGATTCTTCTCTTTTCTCGGGACCCCCTTGGACCCCTGGGAGAGCCCCCACACCCCCATTTTGAAAACCATTGTTCTAGAAAACGAATCCATCAGTTGCGACAAATGTGAAAGAATAATAAAATGACCTTTTGTGAAGCAGCAGAGCTCGAAGACCGAGACTCCAACTGTATTTAATATATAACAAACACACTGATGCATGAACACACACACACACACACACACACACACACACACACTACAGATGCACCAAATGCAGACAAAAGGAATAGATGTGAGTGATGCAGGCCGACACACCCACTGAGTTCACTCCTGTTTTAAACATGTGGAATAAAGGTCCTACCTGGTCCTAGTCCACAGGAAGCTGCAGGCTGATGTTCATGGTGTCTCTGCAGGAGGTAACGGAGGAGGAACAGTCCGGGGCTGCGAGCCTGAAGCTGCAGAGCTGGAAAATGGAAGCTGGAAGGTCAAACAGCCACTCAGAGCTTTAATGAATGCTGGGAAATGTCTTTAGCTGGTTATGTTGCTGTGTGATGATGCAGAGTGGTTGGATGTCGCTGCAGCAGCTCCCCGTCTGCTGTACTGCACCAGGGAGGGAGGTGTGTGTGTGGTGGTTGTTTGTTGTGTGTGTGTGTGTTGTCTCTCTTCTCTGTCTGTGTGTTTTGTATGTCGTGTGTGTGTGGTGTGTGTGTGTGTGTGTGTTGTTTCCTTTCTATCTCCTTCTTCCAGCAGTGTGAACCGCACTGATAACAGACTGTCTAACGCATGCCTGTCTAAACTTTCAAAATAAAAGCCCTGACAGAGTTTAAAGACACAAATCTGCTCATTGTTTATAAATTCAGTGAGGTTAATATATTTAAAGGACCAATGTGTTACAATTAGTGGCATCTAGCGGCATAATTGCATTCCCTTGCGTCACTCCTCCCCTTCCAAGTGGTAAAGCGGTGAGAAACAATCACTCCTCCTCCTCCAGGATTTCACTGCTGTTTGTGATTGTTGGCCTAAAATCTCTGATTTCACAGCAGATTTAAAAAAGAAAATTGCGATGTTTTTCTCCTCTACTCAACCATCACTCCTTTTGTTTCTTTCATCCACTTTCTCTTTCCTTTTTCAATACATAAACAGATATATAGATATAAATATACTACAGATACAGATATATAGATTTGTGACTGACATTGACATAAACAAACATTTGTAGGAAACATTGCAATAAAATGTTTTCTGTAGTTTATATTCAGCCTACGAGCCTGTGACAGCGATGCTCTTATTTTGGAGGAAAAGGAGCTCATTTCCTGTATAGTTTTGGTTAAATGTGGAAAACTTTACGTGTCTTTTTCTGTCCCCATCCTGCTGAGTTTCTGCTGACGGAGCACAATCCAAACAATGCTGCAGTTACAGTCCAACACTTCCTTCACCTAAACTCATTATTATTAATGTTATTAACAGCTTCATTAATGATTTTCACACCAGGATTAATGCTTAATATCTATTAATAATACACACTTTAACAAATAATATCAACCCTGCATCATCAAATAAACATAAATACAACAATGTGAACATTAGACAGAATATGTCACATTTAATCGTTGTATTTTGAAAGGTTGAGCAGAAGTATGATGGCCTGGTGGGGTTGTGAGTGTTTGCTGCCCCCCAGTGGTCACAAGGGGGAACTACAACACGACACACACTTAATATTTGTATTCAATTTATAACATGAACCACGATCAATAACCATCATTGATCAGCACTTCCAGACAATACACTGTAAAAAAATAAAAAAAAGCTAGGCGTCAAAATAAAGTGAAAAAACAAAAAAATATTAAGCATTTTTATAAATAAAATAATTTTTTAGCTTTATTATATAAAAAAAAAACAAAAAAACAATTCAAAGTGTAAACAATGATCTATAAATCCAGGTGAATCTGCTATAATACAATAATCAGACTTACTTTACAGCAGAGTCTGTTATTATTGATTGTTATTATTTTAATGTGATGTTAAAAGTTATAGACTGTAATAAAGTCATATCTGTGAAATTACAGTTATTTGCTGTTTACACTGATAAAACTGTATTTGGACAGTTTACCAATGCTATACACTGATAAACAACTTTTATTCAACTTCCATCATTATAAAGATATCTGTCATTAACTAACTAATCCATTAAAATCACACAACTAATACTTTTTACTGTTAAATGTCAGTAATTTTAGGTAATTTTAAAAATGTATTAACAGTATTAAACTTTAATTTAACAGTTTAATCTATTAAATAAACGGCAAATATTTGTGTATTTTAATCTTTATGTGAAAAAAGTAAATGTTCGTTAAATATGCACTAATTTTATGATTACAGATTGTTCACGTTATTTTACATTAAACATCCTGTAAATTCACAGGATATTTTTGTACTTATTATTAATATTAATACAGAAAAAAACCTGTAAACCTACAGATTTTACGGTTTATCTAATAAATAGTTTTTCATTAAATCTTCCTTAAATAAAAGTACATTAGTATTAAAATACACATTTACTTAAAGGATTAAAAGTAAAAGTTCTGTTAATTATGTTATATTTTACATTATTAGATTATTAATACTGATGAGTTAATGTACAGTAGTGTCACAGGAGCAGATTATAACGACCTCATACATTCACACACTCACAGTTCAGACACTCAGATAATCCAACAGTAAATACAGTTAACTGTATCTGCAGTTCCTCTAACGCCCCCTAGAGGCTGGCTCCAGAGGTGAGTCAGTCTCTATAAGGCCCCATATTAAAATATAATGCATGTGTGGGTGCTATGTTATAAATTATATATAGAAATATGCATTTAAATGTGTCAAAATACTGAATTTATTGACCCAGAAATAATTGTGATAAACGCTATTATTGTCATTTTACCTTTTTATACCACTGATATAATTATAATAATAGTACACCTTTACATAATTAAATAAAATCAAAACAATGAATAAATTTGACTCTGGGGTCTGTTGTTAAAGTTACATTTAAATAAATATTAAAATGTTGGAGACATTCTTAAATTGTAATCACTGATTCTTTCACTGTAAGATTTTAGATTTTTTTTTCATTTATTCAAACATTAATTTGTGCTGAGCTCAGCTGTGAACGATAAAGTAAATAAATAAAATAAACTGACTCAATGAAAGTGTGATAAAGTTAGTGCCATAAAGAAGAGTTCCTGTGTGGAGGTCGCACCAGACTCCATCAGATAATGTGGTAATTTAAGGTAATGTAGTTGTTTTACGTTAAAAAAGAATGAGCACATAAATATGAATTATTTAATTCTGTAATAAACACCTCAAAGGTTAATTCGGCTCATTGGTCGATGATCATAAAAGCAGAAAAAAAATCACCTTTATTCTGAAGGAGCACGATGCCGTTTCCGGTTTCGTTTGTTGTTGTGGTGCTGTGTTTCCGGTGTGGATGCGGCCGCAGATGTTTATGGTTCCAAAATGACCAAACTGCAGCTACTGAACGCCTACCTGACGGAGCGGCTGACGGCGGTGGTGAAGGAGATCCTGGACGTGGTGGAGGACACGGTGACCGAGTACCGGGAGGAGACCGCCAGGACCAAACGGGAGAACGAGAGCCTGCGGAGGCAGCTGCGGGACATCCTGCTGCTGGAGGCCGAGACGGAGTGGCTGAGTAAGGGCCGAGCTAGTCAGCTAGCTCCGAGGCGAGCTGTGACAGGACAGCGTTCCAAACTGCGCTTAAAATGTGTCCGGTTTAAATCTTAAAAGGGAATTAACGTTAAATATCGGTTAGAAGACGGAATTCAAAGTTTTTAGGTGTTGTCAAGGACCTGTTTCGAAATTCGGCATCAGTGAAATATACCAACTCTGTCGGCATTGTATGACAAATGTGACTTTTCGTGGCCTCTCTGCCTGTCACTTCCTCTTTTTCCAACGAGTATCAGCTGAGGTTCCGAGAGTAGATTTTAACTGTTGGAAGTGAGAAGAGTTGCTGTTCAGATCATCGACCAACGTGCCGAATTTACCTTTGCAATATATTGTTACAGAATTAAATAACTCAAGTTTGTCTGCTCTATGTTTAGAAGTAAAACAACATTACCTTACATTTCCACATTATCTAATGGAGTCTGGTGTGATGTTTTTCTTGGGATCTTGGAAGTTTTGGGACAAACTAATTGATTTGTTGATGGGAATAAAATTAAAGCAATGGGTTGATTTATATTTTGTTTAGCTAAAAATGCTGGAAATGATTGTTTCCAGCTTCTCAAATATTAATACATTTTTGCTGTTTTTCTTAGTTTCTTTTGTTTGGACTGTTGATTGGGATTAAGGAAATAGTGATGGGCATTTTTGAAATCCGAGATTTTGTAATTGTTATATTTTATGTTTTCTGAATTCTGCTGTATTAACAGTATCTCTCCTGTTCCAGGGTCGACCAGGTCCCGTCTTGGTTTTGCGGCTCCTGATCAGCCGCCCTGTGATCCGGAGCTGAGGCCCCGCTCTGAGGAGCCAGACTCCACCCTGAACCAGCCCAGACAGCCGCCACATGAGCAGGTTGTCTCTGTGCAGTTGCTGTCGGTGCAGAGCCACCCGTCCCCGGGGCCGGTGCTCCTGCCGGCGGACGAGAAGCCTGTGGAGGCCTGGGAGCCGGCGCTGAAGCCCGACCTTCAGAAGGAGGCGTTTGGGAAAGCTTCGCCTCTTCCTTCTCACTCCTCCTTGAGTCCTCCGTCCCTCCCCGTCCCCAAAGTCCATGTTGAAGTTCCCGCTCTGAGAGAGGAGCCCCGGGCCCCGCCCCCCCCCGCTCTTATCAAGACTGAACCTGAGGAATACAAAGTGACTGAACCTGAAGGTCTCACGGACTCTCTGGCGCCGCCTCCCGTCACACAGGAGCAGTTCACAAACAGGGCGGATGTGATCAGGACGGTGGTTGTGCGTGCAGAGCGGCGCGAAGCTCACAGCAACAGGAAGTCCTCTCAGGAGAAGGTCACAGCCGATGACGCCACTGCGGTCGCTTACGCCCCCGAGCTCGTCCACCGCTGCCCCCGCTGCGGCGAGACGTTCG